CAAGCCTTTTGCTTTGAGGGCCATCGGGTGGAGGTCTTTCTATGTTTTTTCTCCGGCTGTTGAAATATCTCCTTTGTCCCCGCGAGTGGAAAGACTACGTGTTGACACACACCACTTAATATTTACACTATAACATCTGTCTCATGGGCTGCCATCGGCAGAGCATTGTGTTTACTGTGAGGTAATGCATTCTTTCAGTGGAAACTGATATGCGATGGGATCCCCCCCCCTCCTCCCTCCCTCCTCCTCCTCTACTTCCACATTTCCACTCTTCTACCTCCCCGCGCACGAGCGGACGGGCACTTCTGCGGTTCTAGGCGCCGGTCCAAGAAAATGGAGCGTAAAATAGAAAAAAAAAAAGTCTCCCGACGCACACGTGTGATTTCATCCCACCACCAGGCGCGATCTCCTGTGTGGGCTCGCAGCGCTGCCAAGCGCGTGCTTTACTGACCTCAAGTCAGGAAACACAAGCAGCTGCAATTAAAGGAGGGATGGTTGCTGGGTTGCTGTTCTCACCTGGGCCTCCTGCGATGATGTCACGCTTTCCGCATAAAGGCTCGGCTGTGGCGGAGCACATCAGTCCAACCGCACGCCTCCGGGGCCTCGCCAGCCAATGAGTCAAATCAGATGTCGTTATTTGCCTTTTGTCAATTTTTCTCAGGCGGGTAATTAGCCATCGAAGGGGGAGGTAAAGCGCTCCGGGAAGTCCGATGCTGGGGTTTGATGGCTGTGGTGCAGCTGTCTGCTGTGGTACCTGCAGGCTGCCGGCAGACCAGGTGATGGCACAGAAGGCCTCTTTAAGAAAGGTGTGGTAGGAAGAGGAAGACAGAGGAGTCTAAAATTAGTCTCGTCTTGACTGGTCCACACTTGCTAAAAGTGGACATCTGCGCGAGCGTAGCTTTTTTTAAATCTATGAAATCATCAAGGGAGTTAGTATTGTAGTCTCTGTCTGTCAAGCTCATTTCCATATATGCTGCTTTGGTAAATGTACACATACCAGGAAGTTTAGGCCAGAAACATGCAAGAGAAGGTTTGTAAAAAACACAAGATACACCACTTTCCTCAATAAAGTCAAAGGTAGGGGTGTCAGGATTGGGTATAAAAGGAGCCTCACCCAGTTATATTGTCTTTTGTGGCAGGAATGGGTCGCTGCTTTGTTCCCACTTAGTCAGAGAATTACTATTTGATTTTTTAGAAAGACAGAAGTAAATAATAGCAGTACACAAAAATATGAAAATAATCAGGGAAACTGGGAAAATCTGTAGATGCGAGTGATCTATGAGGAGGCACTGCATTGTGGTTTAACTCTACGAACCCTTCCTTGATTGACATATGCACGATTCTGCAGCATTTCAAATTTGCTGCAAGCTCAAAATCCTATTTTTTTCTTTCATTTTCTATTTACAAAATAATTCAAATAATATTGTCTGTAATTAATTGCCAAGAACTGCAGCCAGGTGCTGCTTCCTTGTTGCTGGTGCATGTGATGGAATAATTTTTTCTCTTTAACTGTAAATCGTTCGAGCTTGGGGATGGTTAAACCGTTCGATCCGATTGCATCTCCTCACAGTTTTGGAGATATTTGAAATCGAGGCCAAGGTAATTCAGATTTTCAGCATTTTTTTAGCACTTTTAAATCCTACAGCTCCCATAATGCTGCTTGACGGTCGCTCCTGTTTGACCTTACTTGTCCGACTTTTAATCACAAACAGAACTCATTCTGCAAATCTGTAATCAAAATAGGCTTTATATTAGAATGGGTGGATGTCAAAGTTGATACATCAGCGGGTTTAAGAACTTGTCCTTTGATTTGTCCTTTTACTAGAATATCTAGATGTATGGTAGTCATCATGGCATCATATCGGCAACTGTCAGCCGAAACATAGCCGTTGCAGTTGTTTAGCTGTGCTGAGCATCTTATCAGACCTGTAGGCTGCGTCCTCCACCATCAGCTGGGCAGATGAAGGCTCAGAGCGGATTACCGGGGTGACGGGTGTTATTGTGCGTCCGCTGGCGTTGGGACTCTGCTCTTTGTGCGTTGGTGATCAGACCTCTGAGCGGACTTTCTCTGGCGGCCGACACTCTGCAGCAGTTGCAGCACCGTCTTTTTGGATTGGTTTTTATTTATGAACCATCCTATCTGCAGTGTGATCCGTTTCCATTTTTCCCCCCCATTAAGGTAAGCTCTTCCATTTGTCCTTTCTGTGCAAACTGGAGCGCAAAACCGGAGGGTCAATGTTTGTCGAGTGTTTCATTCTGCTTTTGTTTTCCCTCATATCAACTCAAAGAGTAGATTGATGTTACTCAGAGGATTGATGGAGATGTGTCTCTTGGCTTGAATGCCTGCGATATTCGTACGTGAAAGGCTGGGTGAAATGATCCCTGAGGCATTCCTCTGCGCTCTCCATTGTGTGTCAGGCGGTCAGTGTTGTTGCAGCGGTTTGGATTAGCGCTCCTCCTCTCCTGTGGCACACCATAAATAGATTAGCGGCGGCCCGAGTCGAGCCCTGGCCGAACCATCTGTACCCTGCCCCGGGTTGAGGAAGGGGGACGTGGGGGAGGAGTGCGAACAGATGTTCCAGAGGAGGAGAAGGGCCGAGAAGAGATTTCTGCAGAGGAAAAAGGCCGATCTGAGGGCGCTCTGTCATTTCCGAGGGCTTTAATTGCACAGCGCAGACCTCTTGTTTAGTTTTTTTCTTTTTTTTTTCTAGATAAGCTCACCTGTCTGCAGCAGCTCCTTCTCTTCATCTGAGTTTGGCCTCAGTCTGACTCCACTGTGCTCTCCCAGACCACAGGAAAATTGTAGGTGTGTGAGAGTGTGTGTTTAGGTACAGTGGAGAGAGCCGGGTGGGGTGGGGGGGGGGTTGGGGGGCTTGGCTCGGCTCCTGTCTGGGCCGATCCCGAGTAAATTACAAGGCAGAGGCACTCCGAGGCCATGGCCCCTCCCAGTCTCCTGGCCTGCAGCGCTGATAGCGCTGAGGTTATTGGGGGATAATCCTGCTAACAGATGAAGAAGAAGAGGAGGAGCGGGAGAGGATTGATAACGGTGGAGATAATAGCGTGTGATTTCAGCTCAACAGGAAGGTTCCCCTGAAGGTGTCTCATTTCAAAAGTAATTAAAGGGGGACAAAGACAAAAAAAAAGCTGAGTCAAAAGGGAAATTTAAAGATATGTCAGAAGACTTAATCCTCTCCCCAAAGTCCACGCGGTTCGTTTGAGGTTATCTCAGCCTGGCTGTGAAAGAAAGAGAAAGCTGCAAGAGGTTGATGGGACGACAAAAAAAAAAAAAAAAGCCTGCTGTGTTTTCTTTGCCCTGGTTTGGGACAGCAGGCGGCCACTAAATTACCATTAAAGTCTTCCCCCAGATGGACATCTCCCTTTGGAACGACCTCTCCAGAGGCCCGATACGCATTCATGCCTAGATTCAACTAAATATCAGAGATGTCAGCAGGCAGGTCGAAAGGAAAAGGCAAAGAGCTTCTTGTTAGACAAAAAAAAAGTTGAATTAGCACGGTCTGCATCTCAGTTGTTTCTGTTAAATGGAGTTTTAGTGTGATAATGAGGGTCAGTAACAACAGGGTCAGCGGGTCAAAACTCAGCAGGGAGGAAGGAAGGGAAGGGGATGACAAACACATCACAGGTTTCAGCTCTCTAGATAGATAGATAGATAGATAGATAGATAGATAGATAGATAGATAGATAGATAGATAGATAGATAGATAGATAGATAGATAGATAGATAGATAGATAGATAGATAGATAGATAGATATGAAGTTTACCAATGATAAAGACAGAGTTTGCGAAATAATTGAGGATAAGGTGGGTTTCTTTTACACTTTCTGCAGTGTCACTTTCAACACTGACAATCTTCTGAGAAAGTTCTGCCCCCCGACAGCCTGCAGGAAACCCCGCATTAGCAGAATTCCCTCTTGCCGTAGTAACGGTAGCCCGGGAGGCCGCCTGAGCCTGAGACACAGCCCAGAGCCCTCCCGGGTCAGCAGGGTCACGTCAGAGGTTGTTGTCAGGTCGCTCGGGGCTCGTTTATGGAAAACGTCATGGTTTTTATCGGAGCGGCGGGATGGACTCGCCGCCTGTGTCTACAAAGCCGACTCGGAGCATGCCAGAAGTCCAGAGCTATCCTCCAGATAGCAGACCACTCACAGACGCGCTCGCGGGCCAAAGAAATTCTCACCAGAGCCTTTAGATTCTGCTGTCCTTTTTGCTGATGATCTTTTTCAAATGAAATGTGGAACTTGCATAGTCTACATTTAGGTCACTGGATCGGGGACACCGCTCATTCATCATATGTTGGCATTATTTATCTGCAGTCACCTCCTTTGTGCAGGTCAAGTGATGAAAAATACACAAAAAAAGCTACAGCACACAGAGCAAACAGCCCTACAAACCCTACTCCAACATCCACCTTTTATCAGGCACCTTCATCCATTTAGTGTCATTTGAGAGTGGAGCAATCCTCTGAAACCTGATGATGTGTGTGAGTGTGTTTGGGAGCAGTGAGGGGGGGGGGGCTGGTTTCAGTGTGATCAGCCCAGGTACCGGTCAGCGTTTAGGGGATAAAAGTTAGCCTATCGGGTTACATTAAGGCCCATTGTTCGGCTCTGAGGAATAGCATGGCATTAGTAAACAGCACCCGCTTAACACTGGGCCCGATTGTCTTGCTTTTACTTCTCAGGCCTCAGCGCCAATAAGGGGGCCTCAAAGGAAAGGCTGGTTATGTTGACCCTTGTCAAATGATGTGGATTTGTAGAGCTCCAGCCACTTGGAGATGACGGAAGACCGTAGATCTTGTTTGCTGCGACCTATTTATCAAAAACGAGTCCGTTTAGCCGTCAGCTGCTCCAGTAACAAGGATTTCAGAAGTCGGTGCATTGTATCTGAGTAGAGAATGGCCGATTAGACAAGATATCTGAGCAATTAACGGCTGCCAGTGGGTGTTTAATAAGCCGTGCTTCCAAACCTTTCAATAAACTGTCATAAAATGTCCGTCACTACCTCTTTTGAAACCTTTCCGCTGACCCTGTCCGCACGCTTTTCTTCCACAGCGGTCTCTGACCTGGATGTGGAAAGTAAGCTGACGGTCCATTTCCAAGCTCCCTGGCACCAGCACAGGAACGTTTTCCACCCCTCCACGCGGCCAGCATGCGTGGAGGAGCTCCACCGGCAAGCCAACTCCAGCGGGTGGCCCCTGGACCAAGGGAAGCCCCCCCCCCCCCCGCCACTCCCACATTTAGAAATACCCCATTCGAACAAGAAAAAAAAAAGAAAAGAAAAAAGAATTGCTCCTGGTGTGGACGCAACCCAGTAGAAGGGTTAGATCTTGGTATTCTGGTGTTAGTCTGCCCCCTCCTGGAGAAATTGTGTAACTGAAACTTGACTGAAGTTCAGCCATGCTGTTTAAATAATGCTTTTAGATGTCCCTCCATAAGTATGCGCTCTGAGTCCATGTCTTCCAGATCTAAATGGGCGTTTTTTATGTGTTTTCCGCCACAGATCCACACAGGAGACCGTCGGGCAGCAGGGAGCGAAGGGTGACCATCTCCTCCCTGCCCCCCATGCCCATGTACCCGTCTCCTGATGTCACCCCGAGGCCAGAAAAGAGGGCCACCAGTCCAACAGCGGTAAGACGTTCTGTTCAATCTCGTTTGGACAGGACAGCTTTAGGAGATCCTCTCAACATGTTCCACCTATCGATCTGCAAACCAAAAAAGCAGCAAGCATTAAAAACTAAACTGTTCCGTTATGATAAAAGAAATCCAATAAGCCAACTTGTTTGACTTTAAGCTAAGCAGACATAAAGTCACATTTCTTCTCCCCCCCCTCCCTCACCAAGCAGCCAGAGAGGCGTTTTAGAGACGCAGCCACACAGTTAGCACAAATCCAGGTAAAGAGGAAGAAGTGCATCCTGTTGTTGTTTGTCCGGGGGATGAACGAGTCCTCATCTCACAGATCCATTCATGTTTCATTTCCCTCAGCGTTGCAGTAAATGTTTGTTTTTTTTCCTTTTTTTTTGTCGCCCACTCTGACCCAGATATCTATTAGTCTTCCTTTGTGTCGTTGTCTTCGTCCATTAGTGTGGTGATGCAGATTGTCCCCACATTCATTACAGTCTTTTTCTTTTTTTTTCTTGTTGCTTGTTGTGGATTTGCCCTGTAATCCAGCTCCACTCCACCCGCTCCTCCTCCCCCACCGAATGTTGCCACCTCTCTCCCTGGAGCAGAAAGGTACAGGTCCGCCCCCCCCTCTCCTCCCCTCCCCTCCCTTCCTCTCTCCCCGAGTCTTCCTTTCTAACACGTTTGATTTCAGCTGACCCTGTTTGTTGCTCTCCTTTTTTTTTCCCCTCCCTTATTTTGCATAACTCAAGCCTCTTTTTAAATGCATGCCTGCCTGCTCTGGCTTTTCCTGCTCCGCCCGGGACGGGGATGGTCCAGAGAGAGCTCCAAGCTTTCCGCTTTCCGCTTTCCTCCTCCTCCTCTTCCTCGACCTGACACGTGCTCCCGGGACGCTTTTTTCCGGGGGGGCTCCCGCGATCGGCCCTGAGTCTGAAAGCATGCGAGGAATGTGTCCTGGCCGGGCCCTTAATGACAGGGTCCGTGTCTGTGATTATTACCCATCATGCCTCTGTGCTGCGGTTTCCTCTCCGCACAGCTGACGGCCTCATGTTTCCCCCCCGTTCGAGCCGCCTTCTCACCAAATATATCACCCCAGATGTCGGCCGTGAGACAGAAACAGGGACCAAGCCCCGCCACTCCTCTTTTCTCTCTCTCTCTCTCTCTCTCTTTCTCTCTCTCTCTCTTCCAGCATCCGCTCCCTCTCCCTGCCTCTCACTTTTTCACTCCTCTGCCTAACTTGCTCTCAGACTACTCCTAAAACCACCTTTCTGCTCTCAACAACAAATCAGCTGTAAACGGTCTCCCCTTTGATTTGATCCCCCCCACTTCTACTACTTGGGAGAAGTTTCCAAGGAAACCAATCTCTTTTGTGGCCGGAGGTTTTTGTCGGGGTCTCATTGGGCTGCTGGGAACAGAGAGCACAAAGAGCTGGGAGAGCTGGCTTTAAATGGGGGTGGGAGGTTGCCGGGCCGGGGAGGTGGGAACCAGTTCAGCCAGAGAGACACTTCCAGTTTCACATGGGTCCGGCTGTTGGGAGCTCGAGGTAAGACGTTGACGTTTTTAAGCTGTGGTAGCAGAGGAGGTTTAAGGGCTTTAAGCTCCAACTCGAGAAAAAAAGAAGATCTTGAGTTTTTTTTTTTTGGGGGGGTGGGTATGTCTGTCAGGGGGGGGCCAACGTGCAGCGACTGACACTGAAACTCAGAGGAATTGCCGTGAAGTATTTCTCTCAAACTTTTCCAGATTTCCGCAGATTTGTTGGTAGGAGTTTCCAAAGCAGCAGGTTTTGGCTGAGAGTGACAGTTTCTGTCTGTTTTATTTTGGTTTCTGTCACAGTCCTGACCTGTTGTTGTTGTTGTTGTTGTTGTTGCTGAGTAAAGGCGCGCCTCCTTTAGTGATTAGCATCGTTTTCGGGAACAGTGCGAATTCAGCTTTTTTTGTTTTGTTGTGTTTTGTTTCTGGGATTTGGGACACCATCAGATTTACACTCTACACTCTTATTTTTTCCTTTTGCATGAAACTCTGTGATTTGATTCTGTGAGTGTTTCCTGTGCCGTCGTTTGCAGCATGCTTTTTATTCCATCACTCCACAAACTCATCTCAGCTGCTGGGAAGGGTGTGTGCCATTCTGCTGCCGGACACTAACCCGGACATCTAGTCCAGCTCTTCCCAAGACAAACGTCTATCTTAAAGACGTTTTTTTCTGGGAATATCCCTGTATTTCTTGACTCCGGACGCATTCCCCCCTCCCTAAAACTGAGTTTGATCCCCCCCTGTCCTTTTTTCTTTGAACTGAAACTCCGCCGCACCACTTGTCATGTAACGCCATCCAACCGTAACAATCTAACCGTGCAAATATCCATCTGTTGCAGGCTGCGCCCTCTGACCCCGACTCTGACGGGGTGGCTTTAGGTCACCGGTCTAAGTTTCCCATCCCTAACATCCCCTCCACCCTGGACAAGCAGACTAACTGGTCTAAAGCTCTGCCGCTACCCACCCCAGAGGAGAGAATGAAAAGCAATTCCCAAGTCATCACCTCATGCGTCATCCCTATTAATGTGACCGGTAAATCTAAAATCACTTCATGTTTTCCGTCTCAGTCTGTTTTCTCGGAGCAGGCCGGAGCCGTGCCCCTCTTTGTCTTTTAAAACGCTAGCTTTCTTACTTGCTGCTTTGTTAAATTATAGATAATACTGTACAAAGTTTCTGCCATTTCATGTGTAGTTTCAGGAAGACTGAAGGAAATAAGAGGAAAATTAGAATACAAGCATCATTGTCTCTTTGAAGCAGTAATTACTGCCAGACCATTTAAAAGTTTTAAATTCAGTGTTAAAATGTATCACTTTCATCATTTGATATTGGGTTCTGATTGAAATTACAATATTGTACAATTGATTTTTATGAAATTTGCAAATCAGTCATTTCGTTTTATTTACATTCACACTGCGCTCCAGCTGTTTTTTTGGGATTAGGGTAATATATTACATGCAGTCCCATTACCAAGAACAATGGGATGGTTTGTAGAAAGGAAATACAAACTCATTGTAACCATTTGTTTTTATGTGACCACAATCCAATACCATCATATGAATTTCACGTTTAGCATTCCGTAACTTTTCAAAATGTGTCAAAAAACTGATTTTGAATAAATACTGTTGACTATTAACAATTATTTATTAGATTACTTTGCAAAAAAAGTTTGCTGGTAAAGGAAATTAGTTTTGAGGAAGCTAAAATAGGCTTATTCTTTCTTTCTTCTAACTTGAAATGTGTGTTCTTATTTCAGTAATGGCTGTCAAGTGACCTGTTTGTTTGATTATTCTCTGACCTACCATCATCTCAGAGATGAACAAAGTAGATATTATAGTTTGGAAAGACATAAATAAGACTAGTGTTTGCTAATCTACCTAAAAGTAGTGACTTTCACCAAATATTCATACCATCAGTAACTATATTTGACCAACTTCTATCCTTCTCATCTATTCATATAAGCTTTTTTTCCCCAACATTCTGATGCCACAAATTCTACAAGGCAGCTAACAGGCAGAAAGGGGCGCCATCTGCCATGAAATACATGCAGTCCCTTTTGTTTCTCTTTTTCTTTAGACTCTGATCGCAGCAGTTTGGCAAAAGTTTGCTTTTCCTGCTAAACAAAGCACTGAGCTCTGCATTTAAGGGCAAAGCTCCATCACGGCTCCATCAGAGTGTCCCTCTCAATGCCAGAGTCATGCTTTTGACACTTTGCGGCTGAAAAAACGCGAGGAGCCGACACGGCCACGGCATGAATGCCAATTAGTTCTGTTCCGAACGGCTGAAAAGGCCAGCTTGATGTTATTTACTCCCCATCTTTGTGGCTCTGGAGGAAAGCTGCCTGCCAATTGCGCGGTCCAGTCGGAGACAGTCGGACATAAAAACGCACATTGTGAGAAAAAGCCCCTCCGATTGCCATGGAGCTGAAAGCCCCGACTTGTTGTCACATGATAGTCATAATGTGATGTCGGAGTGGCGTGAAGACAGGGAGCCAAACTGAAACGGAAGCCTTTTCGTGTTTTTATCTGGTCTCTAAACCCCCCCAAAAAATAGATTATCACTTGACTCTTTTCTCTTGAGTCTTTTTATATACATATAACATCAAATGTTTCAGCTTAGTCGTCATTTTAATCTGTAAATAGCTCCATTTTCTGAGTCAAAGCATTGTCAAACATTGTCATCCTTTGACTTTGAGCGTTCCTATAGCACCTGATCCGGTCCAGCTGAGCATTTTCTCCAGCCTTTTTTCAGTTTCGTGGTCGGTCCCACGCAACGCCAGAGTCAAAGGAGGAAATCTCTGCAGCCGCCGCCGGCGCCGCCAAACAAAGATGCCTCACAAATCCTGTCTCCGTTGCAGGGCTGGGTTTCGACAGAGATGCTAGTGTGCGCTGCTCGCTGGTCCACTCGCAGTCTCTGCTCCAGCGGAGGCGGAAGCTGAGGAGACGGAGGACGGTGGCCGGCGTTCCCAGACAGGTGCAGCAGGATCTGGGTACGTTGTCTAAACTCCAAACACCGGACGCCGCTGTGGAAGAGCGTTGGTTGTTTTTCCTTTATGTATTTAGAACGGAAAGAACTCAAAAGCAAAAGCAGCAAAAGTGCCTTTTTTTCTTTTGTTTTTGGGAAAAAAGAGATGGGAAAACTTGACCATCGCTCTAAAACTTTTTCTCAATTTGTTGCCGACCAGTAAAAATGGTCTTTCTTTCTTTCTTTCTTTCTTTCTTTCTTTCTTTCTTTCTTTCT